AAAATCAATTAAAACATCACAAAATGCTATAATTTAAGGAAAAAGCAGAGTAAATGTGACGGCAGTCAGTGATTATCGCATTTATAGCCAAATAGAAGGAGTAAAGAGGTATTCTTCAATTGTCATTCACTTACGAGTCTTTGAGTTAACATTTATTTTACTTAACAAATAGTTGTCAATCGTTTAGCAATACATCATTCTCTCGACGAACTGAAAGAAATAATTTCATTTAAAATTAATAATTAATTTGAGCCCTTGTTTGACACCTACTTCTTCGAGAGTGAAAGACGGGTTGCTTTGGATAGCATTATTCGCAGCATATCTTCCGGAGGCAAACGGCAATGTCTTTGAAGGGGTCGGTGTCTGTACTGTCTTTGACTTTGAGTTCCAGGTGTCGATTGAATGCTTCAATTTCATCGACGCCTGAATGAAGTCTTCAAACGACAATCCCTTCTCTTTGCTATCCTTTTTCGCTGGAAACACACCGAATCTGTGGATCAAAACCTCGAGTATTTGTCGGTTGACGTTGAGTCCGACCTCTTGAAAGGATGCCCTCAATTCATGGGCCGAAATAATATTATTGCCGTCGGAGTCGTGTCTTTTGAATACTGCACACCACTGACGGATGTTTCGCCACAGTTGAGTGAATTCATTGAAATTCAATTTGCCTTTTCATATGACATATAAAATGAATGGTTTTTATCAGAACTGATTGATTGTTGGATATAAATATGAAATTCAAATAAAGTCTAATCGACACAAACAACACACAACTGACCGGTTCTGTCGTCGTCTAACATTGCAATCATAGATCTGCACGACTCGAGTGAGAAGCCATCGAATTTGAACTCTAATATCAAATGAGATTTTGTTTAAACAACCAAATATGATAAGTTACATTTAATTCATATTAAATCGAACCAATTAGCATGAACAATTTAAGTAAACAATCAGTAACTATTTATATTGGAAAGATCATTATTCCAATTCATTATTAAGTTATGGGGAGTATAGGAATTTGGTTATTCACAAGTTATGAATCCTAACACCCATTGACCATAATCAAATACCCGTAATAAAATTTTTTTAATGAATTGTTCACCTGAAACAAATTATTTATTTATTTGAAATAATAATTTGAAAATAAGAAAATTACTGTTCTCATAGACTAGACATAAAATAAAAGGAGTACTAAATTGATAGATCAATGCTTAGGAAAAAATACTTTGCACTTAATTATATATTAAGAGTATAAGTTAACACAAACTCACCAGAAAAGGCTTGTGATAATGAAAATTAATCAAACACATGGTTAGCAAAGTTAGAGACATCAGACAATTAGTGTTCAATGATTTTAGTGATATATAA